CCCTGCGCGGTCCTTGCCCCCGCCCCCCGCGGCCGGTGCTAGGTGTGACCCCCGCCCCCCGGAAAGTCGCGCCTCTCTGGGCCTCTGCGTCTTCACAGGCAAAACAAAGTTTGACGAGGAGCTGCGACAGGAACGGAGCTAGAGGCTGGGGGCGTCCCTAGGCGGGCTACCCACCCAGAGCAGACCTCATTCGGTGGCCAAAGCTGGGTGTGACTCTCGCTCTTTGTCTCACACCCCCTGCGAGCTGCAACACTCTGCTTCCGTTTTTTTTGGGGCGGGGGAGGCAAAGTGGGCTCGAATACCCTCAACAACAGGAATGAATCTTTATATAAATCTTTGGTAATGACTTTTTAAAAGCCTGGTGTGGTGGTGCACTCGGGAAGCCGAGGCAGGAGGATCGGTTCGAATTCAAAGCCAGCCTGGGCTCCGTAGAGAGACCTTGTCTCAGAACACATACACTTTTTTTTTTTCTTTTTGAAGAAATGTTTTTAAATAGGTAAAGTATAAAAATAAATTAAGTGTACACTTATAAATATAATAAAAAATTAACAGGGCCGGGGATTTAGCTCAGTGGTTCCACCGCCTGCCTCGCAAGCGCAGGGTCCCTAGTTCTATCCTTGGTACAAAAAAAAATAAATAAATTAACAGAAAAACCAACACCCACAAAGAAAAAGAAGAAAAAAGTGTGTGGTTTATAGTTCAGAAAGTTATTTAAAAATTTAATGCATCTACCTATAATAAAAAATTAACAGGGCCGGGGATTTAGCTCAGTGGTTCCACCGCCTGCCTCGCAAGCGCAGGGTCCCTAGTTCTATCCTTGGTACAAAAAAAAATAAATAAATTAACAGAAAAACCAACACCCACAAAGAAAAAGAAGAAAAAAGTGTGTGGTTTATAGTTCAGAAAGTTATTTAAAAATTTAATGCATCTACCTTGTAAGACTTGTAGGATGAACCAGATTCACTCCAGCAAAGTGTGTTATGTGGCATTTGAGGGACAGGGCTTAGTGCATGACTGTATGGCAGCGAGGGGACATGGAAGCCCCAGAAAGGGTGGCCTCTAGTGGTCAGTACCGGCATTACAGAGTCTTGCGCTTGCTGTTTAACTCAGGGGAGACCCTGATGGTCTTCTGCTGCTGCTGACCTCCCAACCTTCAGGTCTAAATTCGAATGTTACCCAACTGGGGGCGGTGGTGCACACCTGCCATCCCAGCACTCTGGTAGGCTGAGGCAGGGAGATTGCAAATTCAAGCCCAGCCTGGGCAATTTAGCGAGACCCTGTCTCAAAATAAAAAGTGCACCAGGTGTGGTGGGGCACACCTGTCGTCCCAGTACGAGGGAGGCTGAGGCAGGAGGGTTGCTGTGAGTTCGAGACCAGCCTGGGCTACACAGTGAGTTCCAGGTCAGTCTCAGCTACATAGTGAGACCCTGTCTCAAAAAACAAAAGAAAACAATCAAAATAAAAAGTGCTGGGGCTGTAGTTCAGTGTAAAGGCCCAGGGCTCAAGCCACAATACCAAAAAACAAAAGGTGAGCAGTCCCCAAATTCCACCCCCACAGCCCTGGGCTGCTTCTCTCTTCCCAGTTTCGTTTATCCTCACCCAACCCCGCTGTCCTAGCACAGGCTGCAGACATAAATATCATAGGCAGGGTGGGTGAAGCAGCAATTTCCTTTTTCTCTCTCTCTCTGTGTACATGTGTGTGGTAGTGGGGATTTCCCACCAAGAGCTTTCCCACCGAGCTACATCCCCAGCTGCTTTAAAAAATTTTTTTTTGTACCAGGGATCGAACTCAGGACCTTGCCTTTGAGAGGCAGGTGGTGGAATCATTGAGCTGAATCCCCAGCCCTTTAAATTTTTTATTTTGGGACAGTCTTGCTAATTTGCTGTCACCCCTGCTGAGCTCTAATTTGAGGTGTGCCTGCCTCAGCTTCACTGAGGGCTGGGATGATAGTCACGAATCACTATGTCTGGCTCTTCTTCTTAATTTTTGAGGAATTGTTTTATTTTTTTCCAGTGGTGGAGGTGGAGCCTAGAGCCTTGCACGTGCTAGTCAAGTGTTTTGCCACTAGATATACTACCAGCCAGGACATCATTTTATTTTATTTTTTTGGTACTGGGGATCGAACTTGGGTCCTTCTGCTTTTGAGGCAGGTGCTGGAACCACTGAGCTAAATCCCTGGCCCGACATCATTTTATTTTCATATATATATTTGTTAATATATTTCCGAGAATTGACATCTGATCTCAGGGCTTTTGCACTGAGCTACAGCACTTTTTATTTTTAGTCCAAATTGTTGTATTTTTCTTTTTTTTTTTTCCTTTTTATTTATTTATTTTTGGTGGTACTGGGGATCGAACTCGGGCCCTTGTGCTTGCAAGGCAGGCAGCAGAATGACTAAGCGAAATCTGCAGCCCTTAATTTATTTTTGTTGTTGTTGGTTTTGTTTTATTTTGTTTGAGACAGGGTCTCACTATGTAGTTCAGTTTGGCATTGTACAAACTGTGTAGCCCAGGCTGGCCTTTAACTCGCAACAATCCTGTCTCAGCCTCCCTAGTATGGGGATTACAGGGGTGCACCACTATGCCCTGCTTGATACTAGATTTTAAATTGCTAAATTGCCCAGGGTGGCCTTGAATTTGCGATTCTCCTGCCTCAGCCTACTAGAACACTGAGAATCAAAGGCGTGTCCCACCATCCCCAGCTGTCCCCTCTTTTCCTGAGGAAAGTAATCTGGGGGCCCAGTCCTCACGATGTCACCTACCCCTAATTACCGTAGACCCTTGACTTAAAAATTTCAGTTCATTCTCGAGGGCTGGTTGTAACTCAGGTTGGTCAGTCAAATCCTCAGGCTCCTCTGCGCAGCCTTCAAAGTCTCCTGTGTACAGGCAGATCTCAGTGTCCTTAAAGAGACATTGGCCCGGGATTCCTCAGTTCACTCCATACAGGAAAGGATGCTGAATTGTTCCTTTTTTGGGAACTTTTTTGGGTACTGGGGATGGTACTTGGGTCCTTGCGCTTGCGAGGTGGGCAGCGGCACCACTGAACTAAATCGCCGGCCCTACCTTCAGAACTCTTTAAGTGTTAAATCTGTATCTGAGACCATCTGCAAGCACAAGAGCCCAGCATTTGGGTTATAACTCAAGACTTTGATCGTAGGTTAAAACTAAAGTTTTCAGTCCATAGCCCTGATCTCACATAGAAAATATTTATGTTTGGTGCCCAAGTCCTGGACGCTTTGTGGGGTGGGTCCAGGGCATGCAGGAGAGGGTCTAGACTTTGGTCACTTCTGTGTCTTCAGCCACCAGCATGTGACCTAGGACAAATACACATATTCAAATACACAGATATAAACAACTTGTTAAAGGGATGGAAAACTTGGGGATTTGGGTTGTGAGTAAAGAGAAGAGGGTCACAGGAGGGTCCCTAGAATGCTTCCAGAGTCAGAAAGGAATCAAAGCCAGGTGTGATGGAACATGCCTGTCATTCCAGTACTGGGGAGGCTGAGGCAGGAGGATCGCTGGGAGTTCGAGGCCAGCCTGGGCTACATTATGAGATCAAAGCTAGCCTGAGCTATATATAGCAAGACTCTGTCTCCAGAAAACAAAAACAAATAAACAAATGAATAAATAAGATCTGGGCGTGGTGGTGCACAACTGTAATCCTAGCACTCCTGAGGCAGGAGGGTCGCAAGGAGTTCAAGGCCAGTCTGTGCTCTAAAGGTGCCAAAGGAAAGGTGCCTGAGGGACAGGACCTGGGGTGAAGGGTCAGGAGTGGAGCGGGGGCCTGTAAAATATATATATATTTGTGCTATTAGACCACAGAGCCTCTCGGGTAACACCCAGCAGGGGTCCTATTGCCTATGGCCTCTGGGATAGAGGGCCTATAGAGGCCACAGGTAGCTTCCCTATTTTTACTTTCCTTATTTATTAGCATTATTTCTGCAGCACTGGGGATTGAACCTAGGGCCTCTGCACTGAGCTACAACCCCAACCCTTTTTTACTTTTGATTTTGAGAGTCTGGTTGAATAGCCAAATTGCCCAGGTTGGGCTCTAACTTGACATCCTCCTGCCTCAGCCTCTGGAGTCCTGGCATTATAGGTGTGTTTGCCACACCCTACTTAACCTATTTTTGTTGATTGTTGAGACAGAGTCTGGCCTCCTGCCTCAGCATCCTGAGTGCTGGGACTACAGGTGTGTGTGTGTGCCACCGCGCCTGGCTGACCTCTCCATTTTTGATCTGGCACCTGACATCCCCTAACATACACACACAGATGATGGATTCAGGTGATGCTTCCTTCAGGGAGATCCTGGCTCAGGCCATGCTGTCATGCCTGCACTTGGGAGGCTGAGGCAGGAGGATTTCCAGGAGTTCTAGACAGGCCTGGACTACGTAGTAAGTTTAAGGCCAGCCTGGACCATATAGTGAGACCCTGCCTCAAAAAAAACAAAAAAATAACAACAAAAAAAAC